AAAAAAAAAAAAAAAAAAAAAAAAAAAAAAAAAAAAAAAAAAAAGGTGCCGGGCGGCAGTAAGACTGTTACAATTGTTCTCCTGCCCTTGGACCAATCAACGTTTGGCAGCTCCCACCACGTGCACGTATCACCAATTTAAAAGAAGCAAAAAACTGGTTATCGGAGAGGGTCTTCAAATTTTATGGGTATAATAGTGGAATTCCGAAGTTTTCGGGTTCCAAGATTAGAAAATCATGAAAGAACTTTACTTGGGACTTTTAGAAATTATAGTTGAAATTCGAGGATACGTAGTTATAGAACAGATCCCTACGAATTGTGCTGGCGATTCAGAATGGATGATAACCCGTCAGGGCTTTCGTAAAGTTTCAAATGCTTAGTGACCTAGAGTATACGTAGTTATTTATACATGGATTATCACTTACAGTGTAATCAGTTAGAGGATTCTGCAGAGTGTTGAGGGTTCAGCCTCCTGATGAGTCGGTGAAACTCCGACGAAACAGTTTGCCACAGCCCCTCCCTCGTTTGTTGTCCTCTTCTCCCTCCCTCTCTGCCTACGGTTTACCGGGCAGCTCTGTTTGACTATATATCGTCAAATAGAACTGCCCGGTAAACCGTAGGCAGAGAGGGATATAATATATGTTTGTGTGTACGTGTGTACATGTAGATGAGAATTTGGCTGATCAGAAAACAGAACATAAGATTTAAGAGTTTATTTTCCAAATTTGAGAAACTGACTTCATAACTGGGTAAGCACTAGGTTAGAGCAAGAATATAGGAAATCAGAAGATGCAAAATTAAAATCAGCGAAATCAATTTGAAAAGGCAGCCGGTGCGAAGAGCGCCACACATATTTGCTCCATCGCCGCTGTCATTATTGCGCCGCTACCTGCTTCCGTGTCTTTAACCGGTGAACCAGCTCAAACGAACGCTTGAAACCGCCAGCTCTTTTTTATGCTCCAGCTTGTAATTAGCCTCCCTCCTCCCACTCCACATGAGAAGTAGTTCCTCACTTTCTGCCCACGCTGCCCAACCAACCTCCACTAGATTCGCGCAGGAGCATAGGAGCAGGGCCACTACCATGCCCAAGATCTCATGAAGACTATCCTAGTCACCCCGACAGCCTCCCCTTCCTCTAGTGTGTCAACCCCCGACACCACGTAAACGAAGCACGGCGGAAGACACCTCTTAAGCCCAGGTTATCAAGGCTGGAAGAACCCTCAGCAAGCATCATGTCAATGGCCGCGCCAGACAAAACCAACGGAACCTGACGTCATCGCCTGCCGCCGTAATTCCCATTGCTCACATCAACTCCTCGATATTCCTCGCAGGGAGTCGCGCCGACACTGACAGGGCGCCACCAACTCACGAACCGGCCCATGTCGATAGCGGAGCAGCACGGCGCTTATAGCTGAAGATGCGCTCACCATTTGACAGATTTGGAGATTAGTGCAGCCAGGACTTTTCATATCATAAACTAGCAAGTCTTTTGAAATATGAGAGGGGTATTCCGCTCTACCTACATCTTCTAGGCTTAGGCATGTTTTAGGCTGTTAGCGTATATGTGAACTTTGAGGGTTGTCCGGCAAAATATCCCAAAACAACCACACCCTCCTCTCCCCCCCCCCCCCCAAAAAAAAGGAAAAAAAAGAAAGGGAAACCTCCGCAATATTGAACTTTTCCCCTTAGCGTTGTGTTCAAAGACCCAACTGTGCAGCACAGTCTGGTGTTGTCCGCACGCCGTACGCATTCGACAACTCGAGAGATGCGATCTCATCTCTAGGAATTTGAGAAAACAATGATGAATGATGATCCATAAACAAAAAACAAAACAAAAAAAGAAACAGAAAAAGATTATCCATCGAAAAGGTTAGTCTTTAACATGTTTAACACGAACAGTCGACTAAAAAAAAAAAAACATGAACAGTCAACTCACTCAGGATCTCCACAGTTCTCAGCATACGATGCTTACCTGTACAGTCAATCCCCGGTGTCCCGGGCAATCAATGCTGGCAGGAGTACACTGTTCTGGAAATCATTATAATGTTCAGGGATGCTGGACCCAATTTCCAGCAGGTGCCGCTCCCCACCCATAGATGGAGCCTCCCTGGGAGTGCTAGCGGTGTCTGCTCTTACCAGCACCCCTAGCACCACCTCGGGTGTTTCAAAAAAAAAAAAGAGAAGAAGGATCTCCTCTCCCATTGAAGGAAGATCCCCTCCACTCCGCACTGTCATCTGTGTACCGTTTGTTACTGTAAACACCCCTTGCACGGCCACGGTGGTGATAACGGGAATCAATAGTTTTGCTACTATAATTACCCTCCTCATCACAACCAACTGCTCGCACCCATTGAGCTTTCAAACAAAATTTGGGCTTGCCGCTTCTATCATTTCAGTTCATGAATAGGGGCTGCATAAACTGAAAAAAATTGAATAAATTTCATTAAATGAATTGCAGATTGAACAAACGAAGGGGGGAAATCGAAATGAACGGCCATGCCAGCTGCTGAATCGCCGACAACGCCTGTCAAATTCAAGTCGTTTGAATCACAGCTTCTTCAGGTGCCAGAACTGCTCAGGCTTCCGCATCACAATAAAACCTAACGCAAGCAGAAGTCCAACCAGATAACCCGCAACTGACCCGTATGTGCAGCAAATTGGCCATTCCTGCCAAGATGTCGGCAAATGTCATCGAAGTCAGTACAGGAAGAAGCTAAACCAAGGCAAAACAATACAGTACAGGAACACACACACACTTCACGACTTCCTGACGAGTCGGCGAAACAGTCTGGCACAGTCATGTTTTTTTTTTGTTTATAGAACATGACAGCGCGTGCACACACACACACACACACACACACACACACACACACACACACACACACACACACACACACACACACACACACAATCAATTTTATGTCTGTTTGTTTTCCTCTTGCTGTCTGTTCTTCCTCTAATTTTACATTCTTCTGTTATCCCTCTAATTGTTTCCAAGTATTTTTACTTACCCAACTGAGCACCCTCAAGTAGTGCCAAACAGTCAGTGGTTCCTCGTTTGGAGTGCCTACTACACTCTTATGGGGGGCGGTCAGTTTGGGATGTTTGTGTTGCCTGTAGGTGATGACGGATGCTTGTCGGAGTGACTCCCTGGCTCAGTGGGTGGTGGGAACCAACAGTCTGAGGGGTTCAATCGTGATGTGAGTAAGTCATGCGCTGCTTTGCTCCGTGTTGGATGTGTGGACGACCTCGTCTGCGCTCCGCCGCTGGCCTGCTGCCTGTCCCGCTTGCTTCAGATGTGGTTCTTTGCAGGTTGATGTGTTCGCTGTGCGGTGTGGCCGTGTTGTTGGTGTTGCCTTGCGCTCTGCTGCTCCGCTGCCTTGCTGCCCTTCCGTTGGCTGTGCCTTCCGTGTTTGCTGCTTGCGGGCCTTGTTGGTTAGTTGCCTTGTTGCGGGTGCCTTGTGCTCTGCTCCACGGTTGCCAAGCTGCTGGTCCGCTCGCCCTGTCCTCCCCTGCAGTGCTCTTGCCTTGCTTGTGTTGCCTTGTGCTTCACTACACGGTTGCCGCGCTGCATGTCCTGCACGCCATGTCGTTCCTTGCAGTCGTTTTTGGCGTTGTGCAGCCATGTTGCCTCTACTGTGTTGCCTGGTGCTCCACAGGGTTGCTGCCCGCTGCTATGTGCCGTTTGGGGACAGTCTGCCTTCAACATGGGTCAAAGGGTTCATGACCCAAACCATCAAAAACGGAGATTCCGCAGATAGTCGAGGGTTCAGCCTCCTGATGAGTCGATGCAACTCTGACGAAACAATCTTTCATCATCATTTTATTTTTTTCGGTCTTTGCATTTTTTGGACTTGTGTTTTTTCTTGGTGGTTTGTGTTTGTGTGTTGCTGTGCCCTGTTGCTTCATGCTGGTGTTCTTCTGGTTTCTCTGCCCTGTTTACCCAGTTGTTGCCTATTGCTGGTTGTCTGCCCAACCGCCTCCCCTGTACCCTCCAGCATTTGTTCCTTGCTGTTGCTGTTGTTTGTCTGTCCTCTCGCTTCACCCTTCCTCTCTCAACTGCCAATCTGAGTGTCTGCCTTGATGTGTTATTGAAGTCTGAAGTCCTTTTGTACATTGGCATGCCAGTCTCAGTCTTGGACTAATGTTTGGCTGCACATAGCCTTGCGATGTGCTGTTTTGGAGGTGGTCATCTGGTGTGAAGCTTATTTGCTGGGGTCTTGTATTCTTACCACACACATACACACACTCTTGTAACTCACACACACACACACACACACACACACACACACACACACACACACACACACACTGCTTGCTATTGAGGTGAAACTGTTTCATTGTTGGATTGTCTGAATTCAAGGGCTTTCGTTGTCTGTAATAGGATTAAATTAAATATGCTTTGATTTTGGATCTCTTCATCTGGGTGGAATAGGGGCTGTTGTGGTGAATATTCAAAACACTCGCGGGCACGCACACACACACACACACACACACACACACACACACACACACACACACACACACACACAGAGAGAGAGAGAGAGAGAGAGAGAGAGAGAGAGAGAGAGAGAGAGAGAGAGAGAGAGAGAGAGAGAGAGAATACTAAGTTTTTGTTCCTGCTGAACATGGTCTTTACATTGTCCGCTGTGTGTTGGCTGAGCTCGGCAAGTTCTTGTTTGTTCCAAATATAGTCTTTGTGTGATCCACTTTGTGTTTGCTGTGTTTGCTGTGAAGGCACTTCGAGATCTGCTAAAGAGGTTAGGTGGTGTTTGATAGAAGTGCACTATTGGCAGCGCTGCTGTGTTGAGGCTGCCTCTTTCCTGGGAGGTGAAAGACATTATCAAACAGGCGGCCTGACTCTAGACGGTGGCATGCACCTCCACAAAGCGTCCACTTTGTGAAGTTCTACCTTCCGTTGTGATGGGTGATAGTTCACTCTGGTCTGTGCTATATACGTCGGTTTCTCTGTTGATGCTGCCCTGCTTCATGGCTGCCCCTCCAGCTGGCGTTGTCTTGCCTTGCTGCTCATCCGCTCGCCTTGCATTGGCATGCTGCCTGCTTGGCCTCGGTGCTTGCCTGCCCCCTTGCCTCCGTCGCTCATTAACCCACATTCCCCCTTGCCTCCATTACCCCTTCACACGCAGCCTGCCCACTCGCATCCCTTGCCCCACCGCTCACCTGCCTGCTTGCGTCCATTGCCCCTCCTCCATGCACCTGCCCGCTCGCCTCCCTTCCCCCCCCACCGGGCTGCCCGCTTGCCTCCCCTGTCTCGATGCTTGCTGGGTTGCCCTGCTGCCTTCTCTGCTTCCCACTCACCCCCTCGCTTTATTCTGTGTGTGGCTGCTAGCCTGCTACTTGTCTCGTTGCTGTGCTTGCTTCTCTTCTCGCTTCATCCAGTTACTTTACAGTTGCTTGCGTTACCTTGATGCTTGGGTTATCGCCTGAATGGCTGTCCACTTCGCTGCACCACGACAGGGGTCTTAAGTCGTACGTGATGAAAATATCACATGAAATACGGGGATTTCTTTTGTCGACTCCTGAGGCTTCTGCCTCCAGATGAATTAGGTGTGAGTCGGATCAAACAGTCTGTCACTAACTCTTTGCGCTTTTTTTTCCGCCTGTGTCTTTCCTAGCACGAGTAAACGAGCGCATGGAAACAGGGACAGGTGCACAGCTACAACAGCTGAGACGCACAGGCTAGTGCCGGCTCTCACTAATAGACGAGAAAAAGTAGAGAAAACTTCAGAAAAGAGAGTAATAAAATAGGGTAGTAGTTGCAGAGGGATAAATCAAGGAGGGTAACTTAGGCAGGGCTGAAGGGGGGTACATCCTTCCCGCAGAAAGTAATCAATGCCCCACCCTTTGAGCCTTCCCGCCATAAAGGGGAGGAGCGTGAGAGAGTTCTCTATGTAATGCCGGGGGGGGAATAGGAACCGGACTGATGCTCCAAAAAAAAAAAAAAAAAAAAAAAAAAAAAAAAATTATTCTCGCAGACAAAAATATGGGGAAAATCAAAATCAGATGACAGTCATACCATAAGCATATATACATACCTCAACCATGCAAAAAAAAAAAAAAAAAAAAAAAAAAAAAAAAACAGCCAGCTGCAGGAACAAACACAGAACCATAAACGGAAAAATGACGCATGGACATTGAGATGGATGGCGGCAGCAAAACTGGGTTAACCGTTCGAAGAAAAAAAAAGAAAAGAACGGCCGCAAAACATAGGCGTGGAGTTGAATGATTCGGTGAGAAGCCATAACGAAACCATAGACGTGGATATAGCTGCTTGGATTTATCCCCCCCGCCCCTCCATTTCCAGACATCCCTACGGTCTTCACACGAATAGAACATCCAGTTATTACCACTGTATCTAGACTGAAAAAAAAAAAATTGCCCCCACAGTGGCTATAATGATCGGGCGACGGGCGTTTTATTCGGGTGACTACAGTAGTAGCAGTTTGCAGGAAGGAACTTGGCATTGCACATGCTGCTAGGTACAGGTGATTGTCTCTGTGTCACATGAGCTGCATCCTTGTCTCTGAGTCACGCCAGCAATGTCGTTGTCTCCACGCCACGCACAAACATCATCCATCATGGTTACAAGAAGCAGGATGACGACAACAATAATGATGATGGCAACAATACTGATGATGATGACGATAACCAAAACGAAGAGGATGATGATAACAACGACAAATAGAATGAGGATGATGATCGGGACATAGATGGTTCATGGATGAAAAGATGATGTCATTGACAATGACAATAGATGCTAATAATGATGATGATGCTAACGATGACGACGACGACGATGATGATGATGATCATGATGATGATGATGATGATGATGACGACTACGATGATGACGATGACGACGATGGTGGTGGTGGTGGTGGTGGTGCTTACGATGATATAACACAATGAGAAAGATGGTCGACGAGGATGATGATGAAGGCTAGGACTCTTGGGTAGGCTTAAAAAGCAAGCTTTCTCAGGTGCTGGATGTGGATGAGCTCAGATAGAAGTGGCTCCAGTGCAGAGAACATGGACGGATTTTGAGAATGGCAAGGCATCACTGGCATGGGAATACACACAAACACACAACACAAAGTGGCACAATCATCTATATTTTTTTTCCACATGCACAGTCTCTCACTTTTCCTTCCCCCCTGTCCACATTCACCTCTCGTTGTTATCCCAGGACCACACTGCAGGATATTTATTTCCCTGACACTTTCAGCACTACCAATTTAGTAATTTATCATGATGACAAATGATTAACGGGCATAGCTCAGTTGGTACAGCCATGAACTGTTGAAACTTGAAATGCAGACCCAAGTTCAAATCCACACGCAATCAGATGATGAGCAGAATAAAGCATTACCATGACAAGTTTGATCTGGAAGACATGGCACAGTCATGGTCACATAACAGGCAAAGGTGTATAATATAATAGGTCCTGGCATTCTCACTCACAGATTGCCAATTGCCTGCGGTTACGGGAAAGAAGCGTAGAAAACACTATTCAGTCCATCGGTATGTGACTGATGACTCGCCCGCCAAAGTTAGGCCCTGGTTGGACGCAGTCCAAAGTGCCCACGCTGGGCCAGGTTGGGCCCATGTTGGGCCAGGTGAGGCCGAGTTCATTGATTGATGACTTGCCTGCCAAAGTTGGGCTCTGGTTGGGCCCAGTCAAAGAGCCCAGGCTGGGCCAGGTTGGGCCCAGAGTCCAAGAGCCCAGGCTGGGCCAGGCTGAGCCCAGTCCAAGAGCCCAATTTAGGCGTTTAGGCCCAGTTTAAGCCCAGTTCAAGAGCCCAGGTTGGGCCAGGTTAGGCCTAGTCCATTGATTGATGACTCGCCTGCCAAGGTTGGGCCCTGGTTGGCCCAGTCCAATAACCCAGGCGGGGTCAGGTTGGGGCTAGTCCAAGAGCCCAGTTTAGGCCCAGTCCAAGAGCTCAGGTTGGGCCCACGTTAGGCCCAGTTCAAGAGCCCAGGTTGGGCCTAGGTTAGGCGCATTACACGGTGATGCTTGATCGATGACTCACCTGCCAAGGTTGGGCCCAGTCTAAGGGCATTGGCCATGCTCCAATCCATGCCCCGATTGCAGCACCATGAGCAGGAATACACAGCAATATCTCCACAGCTCCCAAAGGCCTGCAGCATATCACGTCCAGCAGCGAAACTGCCACCATTAGGACGGACTGGGGGGAGGGGGGGGAGGGGAGGGAGGGGAGGGAGGGGGGTACAGGGTGTCGGGTTAGGTAGGTGTCAATCTCGTGGGCCGCTCACAGATTTCCAGAGCATGACAGCATACCATGCCTGACGTCAGCAGTTGAGGTCCGTTTGCTCTTTTCAACATGGCCACAACGAATTAGCATCAATGTGATCTGACAGCTTCCCGGAGTCCCTTTGGATGCCTACGCCTTTTATACTATCTTATCATCTGACCTAATCAAACATGGATTACGACCGTTACTTAGCTTTTCTTCTCTCTTGAGTGACCGGCCCCAAGTAATTCAGAACAACATTGTTCTGTTCATCTGATAGCATCTGGATTCGAACTTATATCCAATCTGACACAAGTTGATCCAATCCGATCCAATCCGGTCCAATCTGATCCAATCTGATCCAATCTGACCCAACCTGATTTGATCCAATCTGATCCATTCTGACCCAATCTGACCCAATCTGATTTGATCGAATCCGGTCCAATCTGATCCAATCTGTCCCAATCTGATTTGGTCCAATCTGATCCAATCTGTCCCAATCTGATTTGAGCCAATCTGATCACAAGTTGATCCAATCTGATCCAATCTGTCCCAATCTGATTTGGTCCAATCTGATCCAATATGACCCAATGTGATCCAATCTGACCCAATCTGATCCAATCTGTCCCAATCTGATTTGAGCCAATCAGATCCAATCTGTCCCAATCTGATTTGGTCCGATCTGATCCAATCTGTCCCAATCTCATTTGGTCCAATGTGATCCAATCTGTCCCAACCTGATTTGGTCCAATGTGATCCAATCTAACCCAATGTGATCCAATCTGATCCAATCTGATCCAATCTGATCCAATCTGATCCAATCTGATTCAATCTGATCCAATCTGATCCAATCTGATCCAATCTGATCCAAATGCAACCAGTCTATTTTAGTCCCACAACGGTCTTCCATTGTCAAACATGGACCTCAACCAATCCACTCTCATCTGGTCCAGTTCTGATCCCATCCAATCGCAGGTAACCTGATCTGACCCCACGTCGCCCAATCGTTTTGTTCTTCTCTCCTTTCTTCTGCTCTTTATTTTCTTAAGAAAAGTCGATGGCCTTGCGATATCGCCGTGGAACTGAACGGGCCACGGATAGTTCAAGAGTATTTGATTTCATTCGGTCCCCAGATAATCCAGAAATATTTCATTTCATTCATCCAGTTTCATCTGCATTCGAACTCAGGTCTGCATTTCAACAACTCATGGGTGTACCCACTGAGCTAGGCCCGCTGGTCCCATCTGACCCAATCTGATCCGCACGCATTGATCTTTTTCAGTCCGCTGGTCTCAAGCACCAACCAGGTGCGAATGCGGCCAGCATTCGCAACAGTCTGACACGGTTACTGATGACGTGACGTTGTGCCAGTTGTTTGCTTTCACTGGCTGTCCGTATCTTCCACACCATGTCTCTCCTGCTTTGACTTTCCCCCCTACAGTCTCTGTGCCTTCTGGCCCTGAATACAGCTATACAGAACTGCCCGGTGAACCCTACCCTACCTTCTTCCCCCGAATACAATGTATGGTCATTATAGCTGTAAGACTGAAAGATAGCCCAAATACAGCTGTAAAAAGCCTATAATGACTGTACGTTTTAGTCAGGGGAAGAAGGTGGTCAGAGAGGGAGACGAGGACAACAAACAAGGGGCAGACTATTTCATTGCAGTTTCGGCGACTGACTCATCATTTGACTTTTCCCCTGCAGTCCCTGTGACTTCTGCAACCAGATAAAGAACTGCCCGGTGAACCCTGGGTAGAGAGAGAGAGAGAGAGAGAGAGAGAGAGAGAGAGAGAGAGAGAGAGAGAGAGAGAGAGAGAGAGAGAGAGAGAGAGAGAGAGAGAGAGNGAGAGAGAGAGAGAGAGAGAGAGAGAGAGAGAGAGAGAGAGAGAGAGAAGAGAGAGGCTGAAGAGAGGCTGAAGCTTGCACAGTCCCCTAAGCGATGATACTGAAAGGGACAATTCACCTTAACCCTCGTTGCAATTAAGCATCAACGACTGCCCACAGTCCCCTAAGCGATGATACTGAAAGGGACAATTCACCTTAAGCAATTAAGCATCAACGACTGCCCACAGTCCCCTAAGCGATGATACTGAAAGGGACAATTCACCTTACCCCTTGTTGCAATTAAGCATCAACGACTGCCCGACAACTGATACGCCGAGTGAGGTGGGCACCAACCACTGCCCTCAAGGTATGTGTGCCGAAAATCAAAGCAGATTGCCCGGGGAGCCGTGCGCAGAAAGGGATAAACATATATATATACCTCGTTTGAGCAAACAGTCTAATCCAGTCATCCCAGGAAGCTCCCTTGCAGCACGCTGTCGGCAATACCTGCACCACATATCAGCATGTCATTCATAAACTATATATATTATATATCTGTGAACACTGAACACACAGCTTCTTGTCATCAGACGATGACGGGGACAGTAATGGAGTAGCAAGGAAACACAAATGGTCTCGTCTAGCACATTACGGAGTAAAACTGTTAACATATAACATGGACACAAAACAAAATCATTAGAAAAAAAAAAAGAAAAAAAAGAACACACCATGTCACATGAGGTCACACTAGCATACTTCTCTGTACCAATGGGCCTAGATCATAATTGCGGCGCATCACGTGCGCGCGAGTTACGCACGTGCGGCGCATAGCGCACGCGCACGTGATGCGGCGCATCACTTTGGAAAAAATAAAAAATAAAAAAATCCGAAAGGACAAGGTGGGGTGGCCAACCTGCCCCTCGCTTCTAAAAATCAAACTGCAAGAGCGGGGGAAAGAGTTGGGGCCACGTCATACCCCAAAACTGTGTGTGCATGTGTTCGCGTGCGGGTGTGCATGTCCGCACTGTACGCAGACAGGCTGCCTGGGCGCTGGCAAGCCAGGGCGCACATGGGCGCTAGGAGGTGAGAGGGGGCTGCGGTGGCAGCGGGTGCAATGGGCTGCTGGGGCGCATGCCAGTCGGGGGATGGTGGTCTTCGGGAGAGGAGGCGCATGCTGTGGGGAGACAGGGGGTGATGAGGGGAGACGAGACACGTACCTGCTGTATGCTGGCAGTCTGCATTGGCGATTTCGTCACGTACATTGGTCTTCAGCTCGAAGTGACTCCTGCTGCATATACGTAGTGTAGGCTAGTATAGGCTGAGTAGGATAGGCTGGGCGCTGAGCGCCAATCAAGATGAGCAACATTGGATACCATGTTGGTGTGGCGAGAGAGTGCCGGCCTTGACATTTGAGTTCATTGTATTGCTCCTATTTGACTGGTATCTCAGTGCATTGAGCTTTTCTGCTTGGTATACTACTATCTGCCAGTAGTATCTGGTCTACAGCGTGATACTGCAATTTGGTTTTCTGTTGTCTATCGCTCTCGCTCATATTCAACATTCTACACCCACTGCAGATGTAGAGAGTGACGACCTGCTCTTAGGAAAGAACTGCAGATGTTCCGCAGAATGGCAAATCAAACAATTTTTGGCTGAGGGGCACCCAGAAATGCGTTATGAAAGTTGAAATAAAAAATAAAAACAAAACATTAACTTATATCATGCCCCTTTAAGCCCGTTTAAACGCCCCCTTCGCACGCCGCTTACACCCCATAGACACCCTTCGGTGAGACATCACCAAATTCAAAGTTAAGGTCGGATTTGGGCGCATCTCAGTTGGCGCAAAATTGACTTACTATCAGCGTCGACATGAAGATACTCCAGGTGGCTGTCTTCCACAGAGAGCTGTTCATCATACAAGAAGCCATTAAGGAAAATCGGATAAAAATGAATAATAATAATAAAAACAAGTTATTTTTTTTTTCAAAATAGAACAATAAATATTGGTGATAAAATTGAGAAAACACCACTACAAATCTATCGCCCTGAACATCGAGATGCGAGGAATGAGCCCTTGCGCGGCCCTTATCAGACATGCACATGTTCTGGGCAGAGGCCCTCGGCAAGTCCTGTGCCCGCCCTAAATGAAGGTGGGCCTGAATATTCACAAGAGGCCAAAATTTGACATTTTCCATATGTGGGTACTCAGGCAGTTGTAGCACGCCAGTTGGTTACAAGGAAACGTGAGCCTCCCAGCTCATTCCAGAAAATGTGTGCTGATCCGTACAGTTGGGCCTTGGGCACACACATTGCAAGACAGATACATCATGAACTGGCCACGGGCCTACAAGAAAGCAGCATTGTCGATGTACCTACCCTGGGGCCAATTCAAGTGCAGCAAACGGCCGGAGTCTGGAAATCCTGGGCATGCCCAACTGTAAAGGGCCCAGGCCCTCAACTGCAGAGAGGGGCCTGGGCGCAGGCACTGGGTTCCGACCGGAAGCTACTGGAAGCTTCTCAGCCAGGCCCACGCGCAGCAAACAGGGCTGCCACTTCCATATAGGAAGGAAGGCAGCCAGGGTCTGGCATTCTGGCCCAAGCTGGCAATGCGGTCACGCTGCTGCGCACGTGGCTGCATGCTGTGCTATCAGCCAGGGCCGCAAACGGGCGCTTGCGAGGTGAGAGGGGCGCTGCAGGGCAGCGGTGCACGAGCGGCCATAGCCGGGCTGCAGGGCGCAAGGGGGTAAGGGGCGATCGGTGGTCTTCAGGAAGGAGGCGAGTGTGGGTGGTCAGGGAGGTGACGAGGTGAGACGAGATACATACCTGGTGCATTAAGGAGGTCGGCTATGGTGTTGATGTCATGTACATTGGTCTTCAAAGTCGAAGTGAGCCTCAAAGTTGAAGTGAGCCTGTTGCGTGAATGCGGCTGTAGTAGGATAGGCGCTGGGGTCCCATACAGTGGGGGCGCCATACAGACCCCGTATGTCCCAACTCATACTCTGCAGACAGACAGTCGGATGGACAGACAGATGGACCAGCCGAGCGACCAACCGACCGACCGACGGAACAACCGACCGACAGACCAACGGACCAAATGACCGACAGACCAACCAACCGACCAACGGACCGACAGAATGGAGTGACCGACTGACAGACAGTCAGACAGACAGACAGAGACAGACAGATACTGAAAATTATGGGATGCACACCATGATGGACCATCAAATGCATACATATTACATTTGCTAACAATGTGCGGGGGGAGACGGAGACCGTCTACTCCTCCCAACTTATCCATGGATGGTGGCAGATCTAAAAAAAGGCACTGCAAAGAAAATTGAAAATTCAAGATTGTCTTGGGACATCCGTAAAAATTGGAACAATACTGAGAAGAGTACCATGGTCCCTGCGCAAGGATGGCACGCATTAAATCAAAAACTTTTAAAAAGTAATAAATTTAAAAGAATCAAAGATTGTTTCAACTAAAGACCGACTCAAAGCAAAAACCAATTCGGCAGAAACTAGGGTTTTGGCGGGGGGGAGGAGGGGAAGGGCAGGGGCAGAAAGGAAAAGGACTATCATGGATGTACGTGGGACACCACGTCCCCATTCGGATAAGCTACAGAAGTCCCCTTTTGATGCAAAGGTCTGAGAAGCAACTTATAACAGGGAGAAAGTATCAGTCCCATTTTCAAGCCAGGTTCAAGCCAGGGTTAGGTTTTAGGGTTTGGACAACAGAGGACAGATTTTCCACAAGCCTTTAGGTAGAATGAAGAATCTGGAACGTGAGTTCAGAATCTGCAAATTTCTTTCCCCCTGAAAACTCAATCAATCAATCAATCAACCAATCAATCAATCAATCAATCAATCATCCATCTTCTTTTGTTTAGAAAAAAAACTCTTTCACACTTCCAACATCAGTTCAGAATCTAAAGTTCCCTTTTCCCATTCAGAGCAACCCTCCTCCTCCTCCTCCTCCTCCTCCTCCTCCTTCTCATCATCATCATCATCATCATCATCATCATCATCACCATCACTCTTTCAACTTCAAACCTGAGAGTTCAGAATTCGGAATTTCATTTGCCTTTGGAAATTCACATCAATCAGTCAATCAATCAATCAATTAATCAAATCAATCAATTAATCAAATCAATCAATCAATCAATCAATCATATCTCAGAAAAAAAAGGGTTCATTAGAACTTCGAAGTTCAGAGCTCAACATGAATTCAGATACATAAACGGTCCAGATACCTACTCGATGGACACTGGAGCCCCAAATAGAATGGCTGCGACACCAATGACCAATGCACCTGCACAAAGGAAGCACACAGGAGGAGGAGGAGGAGGAGGAGGAGGAGGAGGAGGAGGAGGAGGCAGAAGAGAAGGAGGAGAAGGAGTTCATGGTGGTGAGCGCACTCCAACAAAACGATGGTGAACGCAGCAAAACAGACTTCCAGACCTAATCCTCTCTTGCATGTGGCAATCAGTTGGATTTCAGAGAAACGATCAGTAATCGAGGGAGGATGGAGGGGGGGCGGGGGGGCGGAAGGTGAGGAGAACTAGTCATTGCCGGTGTTGACTGTCTTGTGGTGAGCCCATCTCTGCTGGTGGTTTGCCATCACGCGTGCTGCTGCTGCTGCTGCTGCTGATGATGATGATGATGATGATGATGACGGTCATGATGATAATAATGGTGATGAGCATGACCCACAAACACATGCAATGCTCCAAGATCGATATTTAACTTTCAATCAAACCCCATTACAGAATTTGGGCATACGTGGCAGCAGCAGCATCAACAATGACAACAACAGGAAAGAAGAAAAAGAGGAAATGTATCAAGAAGAAGAAGGAGAACGCAGAGGAGGAGGAGAATTGCCTGGAGGCTATGTGGCACCCTCGGCCGCGGCCGCAGGATCCGAGTCCGCGGCCCGGATCCTAGGCCGCGGGTCCGTGGCCTAGGCCGTGCGGCCGAGTTTGCGCGCAGGTGGGCGCGCGCCCTCGAGATCCGAGCGCGCGCGCGGCCTGCGCACGTCGGCGGCTGTCGGCCTGTGCAAAAAAAAATAAAAAAAATAAAAAGTTGGCGGGGGGCGATTTTTTATATGTTAAAAAATATATATATGTATAGAAAAAAAAATTCGATTGATTGATTGATTGATTGATTGATTGATTGATTGATTGATTGATTGGTTGGTTGATTGATTGATTGATTGATTGATTGATTGATTGATTGATTGGTGGGGGAGGGGTCCTCCCTCCCCTCCCCCCGGCGCGCACACACACACACACGCACACACACACACACAATCAATCAATCAATCAATCAATCAGTGAATCTTGACCCCCGCCGTCCTCCCCCCTCCGCGCGATCCCGAC